GGCTTGGGGCTACACTGGGATCTGGAACACCCAGTGTAGTCACCAGCAGCCTGACAAACACTTTCTATTGGCTTATCCCATGTCTGAGCAGTCTTCTCTGGTGAATACCTCACAACTACTAGTCACTTTCTTGACTTAAAATCACCCATCTACATTCATGATGTTTCCATTTTCTTTCTAGTAAAGAGATGCTGTTGTCTTGGAAACATGGTGCTCCAGGAAAGAGGTCACCATTTGGAAGCTCTGTAGACTTCCTTTCAACATAGGTTCCTGAAATTTTGGGATCAGATAAAGCACAGAAGTTGAATACTTAAACCACATGATCTAAGAGGCTAGACTATCCTCAGAAAGCCAAGAATATTACAAAACCCACAATTACAACAGTCCTTTTAGACAGTCAGTGGTGGTGTTCTATTGCCCCTCCTCTCCCCTATTTTTGAGACATGGTCTTACTCTTAGCCTACGCTAATTTGAACTCATTATGTAATCCAAGATGGGCTCCAACTCCTGGAAATCTTTCTGCATCAGATCCATGGATGCTGGAATTACAAGTGTCACCATGCCTGGAAATATGAATTAATTTTGTTCTATACAGTTATTACTATGACCAGTTGAAGTTCAGGGAATCAGTGATAAAGATTAAAACAACAATTTGCCCCAGATCTAATGATTCACCTGTATCTAAGATGGGTTATCTTTATAGTTTCTTTTTTGTTTTGCTTTTTTTTCAAGACAGGTTTTCTCTGTATAGCCCTGACTGTCCTGGAACTGCTTTGTAGACCAGGGTGGCCTTGAAATCAGAAATCCACCTGCCTCTGCCTTCCAAGTGCTGGGATTAAAGTCCTGTATCATCACAACTAGCTTCTTTTCATTTAAAAAAAATTACTAGTATTGAGTGTGGTGGTGCATGCTCTTTAATCCTGGCACTTGGTAGTCACGGACAAGTGAATCTCTGTGAGTTCTAGGCCAGCCTGGTCTATATAGTGAATTCCAAAACAGCCAGGGCTACATAGTGAGAGAAAAACACTAGTGTAAATTTATCCAGTTTTTCATTTTCTACTTATTTTTCTAAAGCAATGAGGAGTAGAAAAGATCTGGAAAGATCTTTCTGGAAAGATCGCTCACCAGTTAAAGCATGTAGCTCTTGCAGAGAATTAGAGTTTTAATCCTACCACCCACATCAGGTAGCTCACAACTGTCTAACTCCAGCTTCAGGGAATCTGACACTCTCTTCTGAACTCTGCAGGCACCTGCACACACGGCACATAACACACACACACACACACACACACACACACACACACACACACACACATGCTGGTATACCCTCATATACATAAATAAAAATAAAATTAAAAGAGCAAGGAGAGAAAACATGGAATTTTTATCCATATGTACTAGTGACAGTCGTATATGACAGGGATGCTTCCAATGCTGAGCTGCAGGTTGGCAGGGACAGTATTGCACCAAAGTTGGAAATGTCTGGGGTTAGAGTACAGGAGGCTATTTTAGGTAGTATATGTGAAGGCACTGACTGAAATAAATAGAAACTGGGGTTCATTTGTATGGGCCATATGACAAGATAGAAACAACTCCTCCCAGATCATCAGCATGTCTATAAAAGGAACCCTGGCCTCTACCTAGTGTTAATCCCTGGGGAGTGTTGGACCCAAGCTTACAAAGCATTTTGGTCCAAACACCTGGGATGCTGATGAGAATTGCCTGAACTGACTGGCCATGAAAAGTCAGGTGTCTTGTGCTCAGTGGTGCCAATCATGGACACTGTAGCACCTGCTGTGCTGGCTGATGGTAGAAAACCAGTTGTGCATTTCAATTCCATCAGACCTAGCAGGCCACAGCTGAGCTGCATTTAGTCTGGGTACCCTCTTCCATTGAAATGCCACTGGGAATAGGCACGCTGTATCACTCCAGTATTTCATCACCAGAATTTCAGTGACCCTGGAAACACTTTTCATTTCTCATCTCCAAACTTTCCTGTAATTCTCTGATGCAAGTTTTCATTCTTTTTCTCTTGCATGCTCCTTCCCTTTCATTGTGACTTCTAGAACTATTGCTCCATAGTCAGCCTACTTTATTTTTCAAAAAATATTTTATGTGTATGGGTGTGGTGATATTGTGTTCCCCAAAATATTGTGCACCCTAATAAACTTATCTGGGGTCAGAGAACAGAACAGCCACTAGATATAGAGGCCAGAAAATGGTGGCACCATTTTAATGCACACCTTTAATCCTAGCATTCCAGAGGCACAGATCCATCTGGATCTCTGTGAGTTCAAGGCCACACTGGAAACAGTCAGGTGTGGCAACAAGAGCCTTTAATCCCGGGAAGTGATGGTAGGAAGCAGAAAGGTATAAAAGGCATGAAAACCAGGAACTAGCCTGGTTAAGCTTTTAGGCTTCTGAGCAGCAGTTCAGCTGAGATCCATTCAGATGAGGACACAGAGGCTTCCAATTCGAGGATACAGGATCAGCTGAGAAGTTGGCAAGACCTTTTAAGATTCGTGCTACATATGGGTGTTATGCCTGCACGTATAGTTGAGCATTATGTATGTGCAATTCCCACAGAGGCTAGAAGAGAGTGTCAGATCCTCTGGAACCAGAGCCACAGATGTGAGCTGCCATGTAGGTGCTCTGTGAGAGTAACAAGTGCTCTTAGTTGATGATACATCTCCCCAGTCCTCCCATCCATTATTATGGATTTTTTTTCTTGTTGTTCAATTACTTTTCCCAGGTCCCTTGTCTTACCTTGAATTTAACCATCCTTTGAGTATTGCCTCCCTTGTTACCTCCTGAAGGCATACTGTATTCTCCCAAAAAGGAAGGTCTGATGGTGGCATCCTTGCTGCCATTCCATTCCTTCTGTTTCTTTCCTAAAGCTTAACTACAGGAGTGTTCCGCCCTGCCTCCTCAGAGTGATGTCACCTGGTTTTGCAGTCATGCCCTCTCCCCAGCTCTTCAAAATGTCCATCTCCTGGTCTTGAGGTCATGGCCCCCTTCTCATTTTTTTCCTGGATCACCTTTGTCTCTACACAAGCCCTTGAGGGAAGCTCCAGCACTCACATGCATAGCCCCTCACTTTCTCTGGTCTCTTCCCAGGCCCATTGCTAATAACTGCAGCAACAATTACCATGGAGGTTCATCTGTGTGGCTGAATATTTGGATGTTAAACATTCAGTCAACAAACTGTTAAATAACACAGGTCTCATTTTCCTCCCTTGATACTTTTATGACAAAATAAAAATAGGTGTAAAATATATGGTAAGATATATGACTGGCTGTAACTTATGGAGCACATCTGATGTTTTTGATAGGCCAGGTAAGTAAGTCAAAGAGTCATACATAATGTATTTATGTCAAGAGTTAATTTTCTTGCCATAAGTGAATTACTAATTATTTTGAAATCAAGACTTTCACTAACTGATGTTTAATTTAGAGTAATGACAAATTAGGCCTCTTATCTGGGGATACTGGTTCTTTGGATGATTTTCACTAATTCCAAAATAGAGAAACTATATTTTTCTGACATTAGAGCAAATGGAATTTTGAATTTAGTTGTTAAAGCAATGCTTAGATCAGAAATGTACCATGCATTTAACATAAATTTCCTTTTTTGAAAGGCAATACAAACATTTTAAATTTATCCTAATTTATAGTTTTTAAATGGTTTTATTTGTTAATCATTAAGGCTTTAAACATTTTTCTGTCTATAAAAAATAGTGTTTTATGGGGTTCCCTATAAATGTCATGGCAGGTAGGGAAATGAACCATGAAGAGGTGAGATTGAAAACTAGGTTCAGCCTGACTTAGTAGGTCTGGATCAAACTTATAGAGTCCGATGCCAGGTAGTTTATTGCCAGTATATTTAAATTATTTAAAGCAGAATTTGGAAAAAACATTTCCAGGCAACAATCATTCCAATTTCAGATGCACAATAAAGCTTAAGGCATGACTACATAGAAACTCCTTTGCAAAGTACATGTAACCATGAAGATGGTTTCTTTAGCTCAAGGCCTAAGATCTGGTTGTGGCATAGAGATCAGTAGGCCATAAAGTACATGTGACATCCCCCCTAAGGATGGGTTCTATTAATTGGGAGCTAAAGATAAAGGTCTAGGGAGGGAAACTCTGGGATAATCACTCTGGGGATTTGAGTCAAGTCAGGCTCTACGGACAGCAAAAGGTCACTAGGTTGTTAACAACATCCACTCCCAGTTTTCTGGGTGAAATGCAGGTATTTTATTTCCTCCATTGAGGAGGCATCCCTGTGTGTTTAACATTCCTGGTTTTCCTAGTTCTCTGTGGGCACAAGGACCTTTGTCTCCTCAACAGTGGGTGTTTTAAATTGGTGTTCTCTCTAAGTATATAAACTTACAAATATATTTTACAGCTATATTTTTACCACTTTAATAAAACTCACATCTTAGTAGGAAACAGAAACAAACAGAAAAACCAAACAAAGAGGTTAACATCTGGGACTATGGAAGGGTATAGTAATTATTAATCTGGGCCCATCGTTGGGTCAGTGTTCCTATAACTGTTGTATCTGTCTCTAAATACTGAACAAACCAGCAGTGGTTTTACGTTAATAACTACTAATGCATAATATACCTTAAAGTATAATTTAACAATGGCTCACAAAGTTCTAAGTAAGAGTCAACCAGTTATCACAGGCCCATTCGATTTCCCTTTAACGTTTCTTACCCATGACCACCTATAGATCCTATGATTTCTTTGGTCCAGCCTGTTTCTAGGTTTTCCCATAATGATGTTTAACCAATGAAAGCATTTTATTTATTGAGTATCTTAACAAAACACACATGAAGAGTTCAGTATTTACTAGTGTGCTGGGAAAAACTCCTTGAGCAGGGCCTTACTAGAAAAATTTACCATTACCACGATTGTACCGATCTCATCAGTTCTAAGTTTTATGACTTTCGGATCCATGAGTTGATTAAAAGAATAATGCAATGAGGACTTACTCGTTATTGTTCAGTTAATGGTTTCTAACTGCACAGTGATCAGAGAATGTGGTTGCTATGATGTCAGTCCTCAGACATGCAGAGATACTTGCTTCGGGACACAGCATATTTATCTTTCGTAAATGTTTCACATATTCTTGGAAGGAATGCGTATTGTGCAATTCTTGAAGCAATATTCCGTACTTATAAGTTTTGGGTACCAAGGGCTAGGAAAGGCACATACCAGCAGTCCATCCCATTTAGAGTCTGCACCCTGGGCCTGTTGCGACCCTCTACTTCCGTCCCCAAGCAAAGGCTGAGGCTGTGAGGCCAAGGCCTGGGTGGCAAAAAGCAAGTGTCGGTGGTAGTGGGGGAACTCCACTACGGAAAGGTTAGCCAGCACAGGGCATGATACATAACCGCTGCGGCCCGCCGTTTTCGCGCATTCCCGGGCACACCCAGATTCCCAGATGTTCTGGCAACAAGTTAGAGAATGCGCGTGCGTAGACCAGTCCTTTATCACGTAATGCCGGACATGGGCGGGGCGGTGAATGCTGGTCTAGATACCTGGCCTAAGCAGAGCCCGGGGGTGGGGGGGTGGCAGCTGGATCCTGTCGCGCGTGGAGGTGACTCATAACTCCCGCCCCTTTTTTGCCCAGCTTTTTCTGGGCCGGTCCTCGCACCACGTGCCTTCCTGGCCGCTCCCCCAGAGCCCTTTCCAAACGCCTGTTGAAGCTGCTGTAAAATGTCGTGAGGGACGTCGCCGCTTTGCGGCTGCTGTACAGAACCATATCCCGGGAGTGCCCACCGCAGTCAGCGGTTCCTCCAGCGGAGTCCTCGTGAGGGAGGGCGAAAGCACTCGGGCGCGCCACTGGCCTCTCCGCCGCGCCCGCGAGGGCTCCGGGCGATGTGAACTCGAGGCGACTGCTGTGCTCCTGGGCCCCGGGGCTGAGGTGGGCGGCAGGTGCCTGGGAGGCCGCCGCGGGCCGGCAGGATGGAGGAGAGCATGGAGGAAGAGGAGATGCTCACCTACGAGGCAATGATGGACGACCAGAACCACAACAACTGGGAGGCCGCCGCAGACAACTTCCGGCAGCCACCGCCGCCGCCGCCGCCGCCGCCGCCGCCGCCCTCGTCGTCCATCCCGGATCCTGGCCGAGAACCCCCGGGGGGCCAGCTGCTGGCTGTGCCCTCGGGCTCCGTGGACAGGAAGGGCCCTAAGGAGGGGCTCCCGATGGGGCCTCCGCCCTTGCCAGAGCCCAGCGGGGTGATCATGATGTTGAAGAGCTGCGACGCGGCCGCCGCGGTGGCCAAGGCGGCCCCCGCCCCCACCCCGAACTCCACCATCAACATCAACACCTCCACTTCCAAGTTCCGTGAGTCTGGCCTTTTCCCCATAGCCTCGGCTGCTTCTCCACATCAGCTCGCCGAATCCCCCCGCCCTGGGCGTGCTCCACTTCCTTTGTTCCAGGCCTAGGTCTCTCTCTCCCCTCTTACCCTTTTACCCTCGCTCAGTGTCTGCGGCCGGTGTCTGGCCGACCAGCTCAGGCTGCTCGTTTTACCTGCGCACTATGCTTCAGCAGGGTCTTTATTATGCCTGATCATCTCTCAACATTAGTAAGCCCTTTTCTCATGCGTCCTCTTTAAAGTTTCACCTTACAAGGCGAGGGGGGGAAATTAAGGCTGTCTTGAATTTCCTTAGCAATAGGTCTTTTTTTGCAGCCAGAGAGCAAAGAAATTCGACAACTTGTCTTCTTGTCTACTTAGCCGCTGTACTTTAAGCAAATCAGGAATCTGAACGTTGGCCTATATCAACACTTTGTTCTTTGCTCTGTGCATTTTGCATCCTGTCACAGAATTCTGAGTTCTTTATGTAGTGGGAACTGCTACAACTATTTGAAGCTGATGTATAAAATCACTTTTCAGAGAAGCAATTCAAGCGGCCATATGCAGGGCCCTGCCCCATGTTGAACTTTTTAGCGATCTGCCTTAACATTCAGTTGCGGGCTAAAGGCAAAAAGTAGTTCAAAAATGTCAGGTGATGTGCTTCCATAGCTAGGAAAAGAATGGGGTAGTGGTTTTTAGCCCTGGGAGGTGGTGTGGTAACAGGAACATGATCACTAGCGGTAGCCAGGTCCTTGTTAATTGCAAGTTTAAAATGACATCTGGTAGTGCAACTGGAGATTTTATTTCTAGTTACCAATTTTATTAAGCTGTAACAGTAATTGCCCACCTAATTGTGAAGAGAAAATTGTCCTGGTACAGATGTGTAGTCACAACCTTAGAAAAAAATTTTATGGGAATAGCACACAACCTTACATGCCTTCAAGATACTGCTTTAGGCAAAGACTTTTGTGTGGGTGTGGATAGGAAGGTTTGTGACTATCACTTATTTAATATAGTTTGTATGTTGAAAGTTATGTTGTGAAAATAGTCCTTACAGTGGCAGTGTGATTTACCTTAAACAGTGAAGGAAGTTTGGATTAATGTTTAAGTAAACTTTCTTTGATTCATTAAGAAGTGAGCATAAAGAGTAGTAGTCATCAGTCAAACTGAGAGCAAAAGGATTTGCCAAACCAAAAGATTATCCCTGGAAAAGATGAATAAGTTTGGGGTGTTAGGAATGCAGCTGGATTGATAGAGTGCTAGCCTAGTGTGCAGGAAGCCCTGAGTTTGATCCCAGTACCTTATAAAACCTGACATAGTGACTCACAACTGTAATCCCAGCATTCTGGAGGTAGAAACATGAGAATCAAGAATTTCATTTTCCTCAGCTTTATATCCTGTTGAAGGCCAGCTTGTGAAACATGAGATCTTGTAAAACAAAACAAAAAGGTTAGTAAGCTATGCAGACCTGTTAAAGATTGGTCCAGGGGAAGAACTGCAAATAAATGAAAATAAAAATAGAACATTAGATTTTAAAAAGTTACTATATGGTAATAAATTTGAAAAGGTAGATGAAATACATGATTACTAGGGAACTAGTAACTCAAAACAGTTATCAGTAGAAAGCTTGGACTAAGCTTAGACTTGTAGTAATGATGAAGACTTTCCCTTTCAAATCTCTTGGTCTAGATACTCTGCATACAAACTCCGTCAGATTTAAAGAACCCTTCCTTTTTATAAATTCTGGAACATAGGGTATAAAAGCAAGACAAAGCCAAAATTTCAAGACCATTTTATGGGGTTAGTGAAATTCTGATTCTAAAACTAGATAAGGTTATATATAGGCGTATTACACCTGTTAGCTCAAGTAGTCTGTGAGGTTGGATCATCTCAGCTAGCCATCTCAAAATTGTCCTGAATAGTTTGTAGTCCAAAGCTGATCTTTGGGTGATGTTTGTCAGCTTAGTGGTATTATCATTATCTTTTACACCTATTAGCGTAGAAATGAAAATCCCATATACTATTAGCTAATCAGATTTAACCATGTCAAAAGAATCATGATTCAACAGTTTGTTCTAGTTTTTTTTTTCAATTTTGATATATTAGTGTAATTTATCTCAATAGATTGGAAAAGCATGATTTGATGATTTTTTTAAAAATGCTAATCAGCCAGCACCAGTTTATGATGAAAACTTAGTAAGGCAAAGAGTGCAGGATAACTATATAAAAGTCATTACCAAAGACCTGTAGCTAATAGTAATAATAATGGAGAAATTTTCAGTATATTCACTATAAGATGGTCACCAGCCATAGATGCTCCCTATTTCTGTAGTGATATATTGTGTACTCTAATTAACTTGCCTAGGGATCAGAGGACAGAGCCAGCTGCTAGATTAGACATAGAGGCCAGACGATGGTGGCACATACCTTTAATCCTATCACTCGGGAGGCAGAGATTTGACTGGATCTCTGTGAGTTCAAGGCCACACTGGAAACAGAGCCAGGTAGTGGTGGCACCCATCTTTAATCCCAGTACTAGGGAACACATGCACTTTCAATCCCAGGAAGTGACATGGCTGGGTGGAGAAAGGTATATAAGGTGGAAAAAGGTATATAAGGCATGAGGAAACAGGAACTAAGACAGTTCAATTGAGTTAAGGTGAGGTTGGCTGTGGCTTGCTCTGCTTCTCTGATCTTTCAGCTTTCATCCCAATATCTGGCTCTGGGTTTTTTTTTTATTAAAAGATCATCTAAGATTTGAACAACAATTTCTATTACTGTTTAACATGTTAAGAAAAATCCTGGTTGCTGGCTTGATGGTGGTGGCTCACATCTTTAATCCCCCTGAGAGGGGGCGGATCTTTATGAGTTCCAGGTCAGCCAAGGTGATATAGTGTGAGGCCCTGTCTCAAAAAACAAAACAAACCCTTTAGAATTTGGCAATAATATCGTTTATCAAGAACCAATGAAATCACGAAAGAAACTCAGTGTAGATGGATTGTTAGGTTGAAGACCAGCCTGGGAAAGTTAATATTTATACTAGTAGCAATATATCAAAAATGGATAGCTATGTAATAGTAGCAAAATTATGGTGTCTGTAGGTAAAATAATGCAAGAACACACAAGTCTTTTAAGAAGAGACAGTAAAACTTTACTAAGGAACTAAGGAGGACTCTAGTTAAGTGGCTCAAGTTTCCGTGTTCTTGAGTCAAATTATTATAAGAATGCCTTTTCTCCATTTTAATCTAGAAATTCAGTTTAAATACCACCAACATTATGTTTGAATTGTTTGACAAACTCAGTAACCTAAACTAAATTTATGTGTTAGTGCCTGTTGCTGCAGTACTTCTAGACAGTGCTGGCTGGTCTCCAACGGCTCCATATTGTCAGTTGTAAAGTTTATCCTGACAGAGGTGGGTAGTAGTAGGTTTTGCTGTGTCTTTTATTTGCACATGCCTTTGGCTTTTTCAGGTGGTTTCTGGTCTTTCTTGCAGTTGTGTGAGACTGTTTAGATCTGCTGCTCATTTTTTGGGTTGTTTGTTTTGTGAACTTTGAGTGCATGTTTTGTCAGATAACAGGCATTCTGAATGTTCTCTCCCCTGACTTGTCTTTTTCTTAGTGTTTTCTGAAGAGTAGTAGTTTTTAATTTTGATGTTAACTGATTTTTATCAGTTTTCTTTTTTTTTTTTTTTTTTTTTTTTTTTTTGTATCCTGAGAATATTTGTGTAATCCAGAGTCAGGAAGAATTTCTCCCAGAAGTTTTGTGGGCTTAGCTTCTAATCTGTGGTCTGAACTGTGAGTTGATATGTGTGTATAGTGTGAGATTGACATTCTCTTTTCCCCATATACATGTTCAGTTGTGTCAGCAATATTTGTTGAAAAACTACTCTTGCTATTTTGGCAGTTTTGTAAGAAAGTAACAGACTGTGTATGTATAGATTTCAGTTCTGTGCATTAATCCCTTTATATGGTATATCATTTTTGAGATTGCTGTGTCATGGATTGTGGATGTTTTATCATGATGGAATGCCTGTCTTTATCCCTGGTAGTGTCTGGTATATGAGATGTTCATGTTCATTGTATGCTGTGTCTTTTCTAGTTCATTTGTTTTTAACGTAAAAGTGCATTTCTTATGTACAACATGTGGTTGGATCTTGCTTTTTTAAAAATTTATTTGTGGCAACCTCTGTCTGTCTACCCTTCCTTTCTTTTTTTCTTTTGCTTCCCTCCCCTCCCATCTCCTTCCCTTCCCCCTGCTTCCCCCCCCTTCCATTTCCTTCCTTTCCTTTCTTTCCTTCTGTTTTTTTGAGACAATTTTTCTTTGTTCCCCTGGCTGTCCTAGAACTCATAGACCTTGAACTCAGAGATCTCCTTTCCTCTGCCTTTGAGATGAAAGTCATGGGCCCTTAGCCTCTAAGCCCTGTTGAAGGCTCTTCATATTTACTATACGGCTGAAGTCCATTGTCTATATATCAAAATCCTTTTCTTTTAAGGCCTTGACTGGTATTAAATTTAACCCTAGCTGTGTAGCTGAGGATGACCTTGAATTACTGATACTCCAGTCCCAGGAGGGGGTGTATCTTAAGTGTTTTGATGGGTGATGTCATTCTGTATGCTGTGAATATGTGTTGCTCTGATTGGTTGATAAATATCTGTGTGCTGTGAATGTATTGCTCTGATTGGTTGACAAATAAAATGCTGATTGGCCAATGGTGAGGCAGCTTAGAGGCAGGCAGGAAATCCAAATAGATAGACAGGAAGAGAAAGGAGATGCCATTGAGCCACTCAAGGAGCAACGTGTAATGGGATGCAGTTAAAGCCACGGAACATGTGGCAATACATAGATTAATAGTTATGGACTAATTTAAGATATAAGAGCTAGCTAGCAAAAAGCTTGAGCCATGGCCATGCAGTTATAATTAATATAAGTCTCTGTGTGTTTACTTGGGGGACGTGAGTTGGAGAGATTTGTCCTGACCACCAGCAGGCC